CAAACGTTGATTGAGGTCGACTTACTTTTCTCACGCTCTGTTCGGAACAGGGAGCAAACATTGAAGAACAAGCAACAGGCAACTTCCTTGTGTACATGTCAGTTGCGCAATGTGGAATTTCGTTGTGGCTTTTACGACTACAAGAGTCGAACATGCAAAAAGAATATCCGTTAGTTAAGGCAAATAATTCTATCCGGCACACCAATTCGACTGGGCGTGTGTGAGTGGTGAGGAAACAAAGCGCGTAATTATGACATCCGAGTGGTTTTCGAAGTTCGAAAGTAGTATGACATCCGCTACAGGCGCTGAATTCTAGAACTGCGCACCAGAGTTGCTAAGCGAACGCACTGCGACATGTGCATGAGAAATGACGCCTACTGGCTGTCATCTGTCTGACCAACGCACAGCAATCCTGGTCCCACACTGCTGCTACTTCTCCAAACTTAAGTTAGCACAAAGTTAGAGAGACGTCTGATGACGTCACAGCGAAACACTGCACTTCCAACAACGGAACAGACGATGTATGAGGTCTGATTCAAAATACACATCTGTCATGTGTTTCTGTGTAATCTAACGGGAATATTGCGCAATTTTTAAGTTACAAAACTTGAAGGGAAGAGACTACTTGGGAGCCACATGCATAGATGCCAGATATTAAATACAAAGATGGCTAATAAATTCTCGTTATAATCAAAAAGTGACAGTGGAACCACGGTTCCGGAGAATTAGACGTAAATACGTCTATACGGAAAGGAAGTTTATATAGTGGTTTTATTTTAAATATTTCCTTTATACATGCTTTACAATTGTGTAAAGTTTGATTAAGACATTGCTTATTTAACTTGAATTAGTTACGCTTAAGATGGGTCTGTGAATGTAATGTAATTTAATGTAATGTAACATTTCCTAGGTAACAACAATGCCGAGTAAACAGATGACGTTTCCTAGGTAACCAGGTTACACTTTTTCCTTTCCCTTTTTCGTTACACTTTTTTGCCGAATGACCCTTCCTTATAGACGTATTTATGTCAAAAACAGCAAGTCATGTGCATGTATGGTTCCTCAAACAGCGAGCAGCCCTGGGAACTCCACGTTTGTCATTTGATCTCAGTGCACAACGGAAAGAGCATGCACATCTCAGGACACGGAAAAGGGGTTATGACTTCACAGAATTAGAAAGTTCCTTGTGGAAAGCAAATCAGAGCCGTAAGGTCACTAGGAACCACCGAGTGGACCGAATATTGTAGGAAGTATCCGACAATCCTCACAGCTCTTACTGTCAAATTGCCTACTTACTTACATGCACTTGTTTTTCTATCTGAACACAAATGATACTTAGATAATTAAGTACGATAAGTATACTTTATAAGCGTCCCAGAAGACAAACTTAAAATTATTAATTTACTGGAAAATTACCCGTCAAGAATGACCAGGAAATAGCAATCAGTGAACTATCAAGCTGCAATACGGTTATGTTGTTTCTCCCACGACTTTATGATCCTTCAACCGAAATACCTGATGTCATAACTGAAAACAGTTATTTTAAAGAATGATCACGAACGATTACTTGTCTATTGTACAGATTAATAATTCAGTCCGACATAAACTGACTCCAGATATTTACATACACATTAACACAAACCTGGAGTAACAGTTCGACAGATTTATCCAAAACCCACTTTTAAGTGAATTAAATAAAAAATTACAAGTACTAGGCCAAATAGTTTTACTAGGAATACCACATGTTTCTGTCTTTTGCTTGCATTGACATCTCCACGATCACAAGTTCGTGCCTTATACTTGCATTGAAGTCTCCGTACGCTTTTATGTAAGCAAGTGTATAATCCTGTTTTCGCATTCTACTAT